ATGAAAGTAGATTGCCCACCCTTCCTTCCGAGGAGTGGCTGGTGGGTTTGAACAGCCAGCCTTCTAGTTAGCAGTCAAATGCCTTAGGCACTATACCACCAGAGCTCCTGATGGTAATGTATAGCTGTTGTAAAGATTAGGCCATTCTGAGAAGCACCAAACACTCCCAGCTTGCCCAGGTAAGAAAGGGACAGGGAGATAAACCTAACAAGGCCAGTTTTGGTTCTTCCTATTGAAGGTGAACCACACCCATTCCTACAGCCTCCACCCCTAGGAGCTTTACATGTGCTTTTCTCATTCAAAATCCAACAAACCCATAAAGTAGAGATACCTGTCTCACTGAGGCTAAATGCCTATGATAGATTATATTCTTTGCGCACAATCCTTCACATCCACCCTAATCATGGCTCCCCATGTGAGGAGTATTCTTTCCAATCCCACTGACTTAGTCAAGTGACTTGCTTAGTCAAGTGACGTGCTTTGACCAATGGAATGTGGGTGAAACTGCAATGTGCCAACTTGGAGCTAAGATCTTAACAGGCATGGCAGTGTTCCACCAACTGTCTTGGAGCTTCTTCGCTCTACAGTGAGAAGAGCATGCTGTAGGTAGCTGTTCCTTTAGCTATATCCTAAAATGAAGCTATGGTGACCCACCTGAAAGCTGACTAGAAGCCTAAAGTCCTGCCTAGCCTCACTTTGCCAGCTAAGCTCAGCCAAACTGCAGCCATCCTGCTGACCCATGAGTGGGAAATACATGTTACTGCTTTAAGCCACTGAGATTTGGGGGTTGTTAGTTATTCAGCACTGTAATAGCCTGATTAATATAGCACCCAGTGTTAATAGGCAGAAACCTAATACCTAACAGTCCTTGTTCTTGTTGTTAGGTGCCATCAAGTTGATTTTGATTCAAAGCAACCCCATGTGACTGAACAGGACTGTCCCACAGGGTTTTCTAGGCTGTAATAATTGCAAGAGTGGAGCACCAGGTCTTTCTCCCTCAGAGTCACTGGGGTAAGCCCTGAGCCTTAACCATTGCACCACCAGCAGGACTCCTTTAACAGTCGTAACAGTCCATAATCTGTTAATGGAAAAAAACCTTGCATTTTTTACAGTGAAAATTGTTGAAGCACAGATGAATGAAAATAAAGCAAAATGCAAACAGGATTAACTCTGAGTGTTGGGAATTTGGATACTTTCGGTTTTCTTTTTGGTGGTGGTGCCCTCGAGCCAGCTCCAACTCAGAGTGATTCTCTGTATAAAAGAATGAAACACTGCCCAGTCCTGTGCCATCCCCACAATATTTGCTATGCTTGAGCCCATCGTCATAGCCACTGTGTAAATCTATGTCTTTGGTGAGATTTTGTATTTTCCAATTTTTTTAAATAATAAATAGAAAAAAATTAACATGAAGAAAAACTTTTAAAATGAAATCAAGATGAAAACGAGGTCTACCGATACAGTTCATGGAAAGCCACTAGTGAAATAATAAGGACTAGATAATAAGCAATATAGCCTTTTGATGTTACCTGTCACTCTCCTGGCAGTTAGCCTCTGAATGACAATAAACAAAGGGACCACATGCTAAAAATGTGTGATACTGTTACACAGCATACAGCAGGATGTCAAA